TGAACTACAAAACAAGACATAACCAAATGAACAATACGCACCAGTCAAAGCTTTTTTTTTAAAGATTTCCTATCCATTCAAATCAAATATGCATTGGATGATCATACTGTACTATAAAACAAATGAGAGCATGCCAAAGACCTAATGAGGTAAAAACTACTATGGTTTGGGCTTGCCTGTACAACATCACTAAATTCAATGACACAACATGCACAAAGTATTCTGTTGTAAATTACTCAAATACTTGCCTGATTCAACAATGAGCTTTGTTCCACTTCCAAAAAACAACTTGTTAGTATTTGCATCCACACAGCACTACAGCCTGCATCAAATACTCAATGCACTACTTGTCATTGCAGAAAAATTTAAGATCTAGACTTTAAAGGTAGAAATTTGATGAAGGGAATAATCAATGTTTTCACATATTTATTTACATTATGATGTTGTGTAATATTACACCTGTAGTTTCATTTGTTTTCCTTACATTAAATTTCAGTTTCTTAAACAATTTGATGTTCTTTTAACTATCACACTCTCAGTCCAATAACCAAAGAGTCTGAAATGAACAGAAAACAGAAAAATATATATATTTTTTTTTTTTAAGTCCTACCACATGATAACGAACTTGGTAAAAACTTAGTATTTTTACAAATTCATATAGTTCAGCACATTTAGTCTATGTTTTCTTAGTACTTCTTCTGTTTCTTTAACAGGCATCATTTTTTACTTACTTGATTCAACAAAGAGTTTGGTCCCTTGACCAAAACTCAGCTTATTTCCAGCGCCAACATTCACACAGCTTACTGCCCCACTACAAAAACCATTTCTAAGGTACGACTATGTATCTTTATCATGTAGTACATTGTTAAGGAATTTAACAACTGAAAATATTAGTATTATACATAACAGTTTAGTTTCCATTGTCAGACATTTAATTTTCATATGCATTTTACTTACTGGTTTGAATTATCAACTTTGTTCCTTTTCCAAAAAAGATTCTGTCTGCACTATTAGACACACAAAGTGACACTTCATACCAAATACCGCCAAACACTGAAACTGCTATTTGTTCACTCAACAGAACAATTTTTACTTTTATAATTACTATTTTAGTAGTATAGTTTATTACAGCATTTTATTGTTATGCATTCATTAGCTTTTCTTTATTTTTCAAAGCATTGATTTTAATCTGAAATGTATAAGACTTTAATAACGGGACATGTTTAAAAGAGATTCATTTTTAGAGAATTAAAATTTCATAAGATGCATATGCTTTTTGGTGTATTTGTTTCATGAAGAGAGCAACTCAAGATTGACTAACTTTCTCTGGGACTTTCACTCAGCAACCCTTCAGAATCACCTTTCATAGAGTTTCAACGTTTCAACCTTCAACATTTGCCCAATTACTAAAGCAATACTAGCACCAAAGTCACAGAACTTTCTCAATAAAAAAAAAAAAAACGCACAACTCTGAAGATGTTTTAACTGAATATTTTCAAAAGTGCAAACTTACTGGAATGGATGAAAAGTTTGGTTCCTTTACCAAATATTATCTTTCCAAGGCTGCCAGTATTCACACATGGCTATACATCCATACATAAACCTATGCATCAGAGGCAATCTCTAAAACTACATGCTGCCTATCAGAGGAAATTTTATTATGCATTTTTATTTTTAAATATTCTGTTAGATTTGTTTGTTCAAGAAAACTTGCCATGTTATATGTAACATATATAGGATGTTTTAATTCTACCTCTGAAAAAATCCCAGCGGAGCCATCAAGAATGCTGTACTCATATGATAAATGTAGTAAACAATCACAAACATTAAATGTTTAATTACACAACATGTTTAGGTATATTTTAAAGAAGTGTGACAAAAATAAGTTGCACAAAAAACAATGCACACAAAATATATGTTGTATTATACTAAACTACTTTTTGCAAACTGCTTATTTCGTATTTAAGTCATTTCTAAGATAAATATTTTTAGTGATTTAAAGATTAGAGAGAGCAGAAACTTACTTGATTCCACAATTAGTTTGATGCCATTTGCAAAAATAAGCTTGTCATTCCCTCTAGTCACACAGAGTTATACACCATAACAGAAACTCCCTGTAAATGCCTCAAACCCATCATACAGTAATTTTGAAAAAATAGTTATGTTTTGAAATCAATTTCAATAATTAAATAAATTATTTATATTTTCTTATTAAGCGGTATATGACATTTAGTTGAATTTTCACATAGATTGAAATTGGATTTAGCTGGAAAAAAAAGTATCTGAATACTAAACACTTTCAAATACAACAGCAATGCAGTTGAATCTTTTAATGTTGATGCAACATGACTTTCTTTTAGATTTTACTAAAAAGATACTAAGATTAAACCTTATCATTACAATTACTCAAACTGATTTTTAGAAGCAAAACACTAAATAGGACCTGCAATCAATTTTATGTTTAATCTAACATTCTGAATTCAGTGACCTATCAAAATATTTAGTTCGACAAATAAACAACTTACTTGATTCCACAATGAGTCTGGTACCATGGCCAAATACGACCTGGTTAACCCCTATTGCATTCTCACAGCACTACACTGCATAACAAAAACACCTCAACATAACACTTTATCTATTTTTAAGGACTGACACTAGATTTAATATTCCACTCTCAGAACAGTTTTCTACTCATTTCCCACAAACATTGCATATGCAACTAATATACCATCAGACAGAATGATGATTGTACTTTTCTTTTTCATGCTTTGAAAATAAAACTAACTGGTTTGTAAATAAGCTGATGAGTGAATTAATATTTATGTCTGTATAATAAACAAAGTAGTACATAAATGTCACTTTCTTGCATCACAGAAGACTTAAATGCAATAAAGAATTATAAATCTCACCTGATTCCACTATAAGTTTTGTACCGGTGCAAAATTACAATCTTATTGACTCCCTGCTCATTCACACAACACTAAACACCATATCAAATATCCTTCAGTGCAAACAACTGATCAACATTTCTACGTGCAAACTCAAAACAAAACATTTCAATTATATGCTTTGAATTATCACAAGTGATGGTCATATGAAAAAAATCATCATCACTCATTTCACTACCCTTTAAATTAAAAAAAAATTAAATTAAAATTAAAAAAGTAGTTTCAAGCCAAAATGTCATGCTATAACGCAACAATAAAAGCTATTTAAAATAATACTCACTGGTCTGCACAATTAACTTTGTTCCAGATCCGATAAAGAGCTTGGAGCCAGAACTAGATGACCACAGTGTTGCATTCTCAGACATAAAACCTCCTCACACAAGATACAGATAAAGAAGATAGTTTAAAATGGTATATCTTCAAATCATAATTTACCAAACATTCAAGATCAATGATAAAAGCTTAAAATGCTCAAAACACTTCTATATTTTATATAATTTCCCCCTAAATGTTAGAATTACTAAATGCATGCCAAAAACAAAAAGTTTCAATTCAGTGATGGCGTTAATAATATTATGCATCAATAATCTTAATGCTACAAACTCTTTGATACATTTAAACGTGATATTGTGGTGAGACAAATCAATTCTGAAAGAGTTTAAATCCTTACCTTAGTGTCCCTACTCCAAATTTATACCAGATCCTGGAATAAGTTTGCACTTCCTCTGTAAGAAACAGTGTGTGTATTAAAAGAGTTAGACACCTCAATCTTTACTAAAAAAAATTATCCAAACCAAAGAATTAAAATCCCACCTTGTCCAGCAGAACATTTCAGTTTAGGTGAAAACAATCATTCAAATGAGAAATATATGGTAACTCACCTCTTCATATAGACATCGGTGTTCTACTGGCCTAGTTTTAACGTTACACATGGCCTTATTTCTTGCTCATTTCTGTGAACCAACCTACAGAAGCAATCTCTGAAATAATAATAATAGGCTAACATTTACATTTGCTTTACTCGGTTTTGTTTTGTAAACGTATAGTAAAACTAAATGTCTTTGTGGTCAACACAGCTAAGTCTTGTTTTAAGGCGTTCTTAGCTCTAAATTAACGTTTGTGCTTGAACAAAACACTTAATATTGAGTGCCTCTTTATATTTGATGGAGTATCAAGCAAAAACAAACGTTTAGGCTAGTTACCCATGCCACCATGTGCTATTTGCAGAGAGCTAAGATACCTTTTTTTATTCTGTGATAGAAAGTGTCTTCTAACAGCGGGGTTGAGCCAGACTGAAAACGGGACATTGGCCAGGCCAGACTAAAATCATGTTTCCCTTGAGCCAAAAGCTTTTGCGAGTCGTGCATGTTCACATAAGCAAAAAAAAAACAAAACCGTGGAACATGCGGAATCACATTGGATGTCAATGCTCAGTCGGCCACTAGAGGTCACTCAAGTCCGCCAGTCAAAGCAAACGGCAAAATCCCACTAACAGCCACAGGAGGGCAGTACACTTTATTTCATGGTCTTAGATGAGTAGCAAGCTCAGCTCACCGTTTTCATGAAAGAACGTTCAGAACATTACTTAATAGCCTATTCATTAATAAATAGTTCATAAATAATAAAAATTAAGTGATTTATAAAGACAACTAAAAAAAAGTGCTCTCAACAGACTTAGTTATGTCTCACAAATGTAGGCTAATCATCAAAACAGTGGTTTGACAAACTATTTTGAGGAATATTTATTTTAAATCATTTTATGTAAAAGTTAAGTAATTAATTACAAGCTCCAAAAACTGTAGCTGTAAGACTTTACAGCTGTTTTTCTCTTTCTATAACAGAGTGGAAAAAATGTAGCAACAAACATACTAATTCTTGGAACCCAAAGCGAGCAGTAGATCTTTATCTGAAACTGTGGTTAGAATCTGCCTCCAGTACGAATGTGCTGTTGAAACTGTGGTTTAGACATACTCACATGAAACTTCTCTTTTATCAAGACATTTTATTATTTCATATATTTTTGGAAAATCATATTACATGCAAAGATCAGAGCCTCAATAGTTAAGTCAAATGGTAATCCGTTACACAATTAGACAATGTAAAAGTCTTAAACAATGCAATGCTGTTATGTAAAAAAATTAAAAAAGTAAAAAATTTAAAAGTATACAAAAAATTTACTTGCACCTGTTTGCAACTAAAGCCAGAAAATACACACACCATTGCAAAGCAATACGCACATTACACCACTGAATTCAGAAATGTTTCTAAATGTCAAAAAGGTTTGCAATGTTTGTCGATATTCTTTATATATGAAAGACATTACTAACAATTTGTATTTTTCATTCCATTTAACATTATTAGACAGAATATAGATTAATACTGACCCTGTGACTGACTGTATAACCGCATTTGTTTGTTTGTCAGGGTTCGATCAAGCTCCAGTTCAAAATTGAGATTATTCAGATGATTTGGCTGGATTGAACTTTTAAAATACGAATGCCTTTACAGTCATCATTACATTAACTGCAACACATTTAGCAAGCAGAATTCTCAGACCTGTCACAAGAAGATTCATGAAGTTCATTTTTGGATCACCTGAAAAAAAAAAGTGAAAACAATAAATGAATCATCCTTTGATATTAAATGAATTTAAATCGTGTAAATCATAGCATAACGTAGATAAGTTCACAAATGCAAGATATACATGTAGAATATCTTATGTATTTTATTACTAACCAGTGTCTATGAACCCTGAGGCAGAAGTTCTAGCATTTGTTTCACAAGACTGTGGAGTCAGTTTTTCGGGTTTATCTGCAGAATAAAAATTAAGTAGAACAAAACAAATAATTCTTAATATATATTTTGTATTCACAATACTTCAAAAAATGAAATCACATTAAAAAAAATGAAAAAATAAACAATAATTATCCATTTAAGTACAAACCTGTCGTGACAGGAGTGTCAGGAGTTTTGTCTGCAGTTTCTTCATCCATTTGGCATTTTTGGATTTCATCATCAGGGGATCCAGCATAATAATAGGTTTTGGACGATTTGAACAAAGGTGCATTGCTGGTGGTAAAATTCTCAGGTTCTTTCCCTTTCACATTCAAAGTCATAGTCTTTTCTTGAGGAAAGAACCCGGCGGCCAGACAAATATCTGGTCCTTTGCCATTGAAAGGGGACAAGATGGACAGAAACGGAGGAGTTGGCGCTGCATCTTCTGAACAAAGAAAAATAAGTAGTTTTCATCAGCTTTTTTAGTCCTTTGGCAAGACTGTACTTTTTACATATGTGGCAGTTGCAAAACTATGCTCATGATGTCAGTGAAAAACTTTTGCAATCATCTATTCATACACAAAACATCCCTAGTCTTATGAACAAATACAATTACTCAACTAGAAATGTTTTCTTTGGAGCAACAGCCCAAGTTAACAAACATACTGTGATCAGAAGCTGAACGCAGCACAACCAACTAACCAACCATTACAAGCTATTTTACGGAGTTTTTCACTATTTTCTCCAGCACATAAGTTGGTGTAAAAGCTCGTAACAGTTAAAAATAAGTACTTACTTGGTATGACCTTGAGGGTTATCGGCTTTCCGAATGTTAAGGTGTCAGTAGCTGAAAATGCACCGCTACCGTAACCCTTACAAAAACACTCCTGACCCTACATCAGCATTGGGACTGACAAAATGACCTAACCGAGCCCTGCTAACTACAACTAACTGACCAAAGTTCATGTTTTCACAAATTCAGGTGTATGGTTTGGAAAACTGCAATATGATAACATTCAAAGTGGATTTACTTACTTGGATTGACCGTGAGACGGATGGGATTTCCAAAAGTTAGTGGGTCTGCACTTCATTCAGCCCCTTGACAATATCCTTTAGTAATGCAAAGTATCCGCACATCTTAAGAAATACACTAAAGACTGATCTGAAAGTCTGATGTGAAACATCCAGTCGAAGAAGTCCAGCTTGATATTCTTTCAAAGGTAATTCCATCTGTCAGTCATCCTCGTGATATACCCATGTCTGCTCTATTCACATACAAACAGGTGGCTGGAACAAAAGCCTTCAAGACAAAAACATCAAGATTGAGAGAATAGTTCTGTGATAGTTCAGTCTTTCAGTCAGATATTGGTTTAAATATATCAATACAGTTTATAAACACAAATAACAGGGCTATGAGATTTTGTACAGCGCCTAATGAAGAATGTATCACTGTGGTAGTCCAGACACAATGAAAAACATCAATACAAAAACCCATGCCCTCTATTGAGGGGCTGTCTTATATGGAAGAGAGAGAAATGCTGTCATCTGAAGAATCTTCTCAACAGATATATTTGACTAAAACTATGTTTAAAATCCATAGCCATGAGATGAAACCCCAAGCTGCAGTGGAAGTCTTCATGTCTAAGATGATAGAACAGCCTCAGAAGGATCATTCAGTGCAGTGACAGTCAGTTAACCTTTGTGAGGTTTTTGTATGGGACAAAACTTGAATCGAATCACTGTGGTACCCCTGTCCACACAAAGACACAACTCGAAACAAAAACCACCCTCCTCTGTGTGATTGAATCACTTCAGAATAAGTAAGCACAAATATACGGAGAAATTGGCACCTAAAAGAACATCTCAAAGAAAACTCTTCAGAAACAGGACATTTTTGAAAATAATTGGTCTTACCTTACATTAGGGCTCTTGTGATAATGTAATTCAGTTTAAGAATAAAGTAAGTGAGGAATACTACTAAACTTGTACCTGACATATTACTTTAAGGAGATGTTTGTATTTACATAGTCACTTATTACAATTGAATATAATTACTAATATTAATTATATTGACATAATAGATGTAACAGGCACTATAAACTGTTATTAGATTAATTGTAAGTATTATTTTTTGAGTTGACTGATATATACTGACATATCAGTATATAAATACACATGCATCTTGAATTAAATACTTTCACCATTATAAATTAATTTAAACAAAATGGATGGATTTACCATGTACTATTAAAAGAATAAAGTTGGTGATCCAAAATCTAGGAGAAAATAATAAAATGCAATATAATTTAATTGGTGTCAACCGAATTTCAGAAAAAATGTGCAATTAATTAGTTATTGTTTTAATAACTAATTAATTGCACATTTTTCTGAAATGAATCGCGATTAATCCCACCTAGCATTAAAGTTTTTAAAAACACTTTTATATTGCAATAATGGCACATTCAATCTTCAAATTAATGTAGAAATAAAACAAAGACAGTATATTTTTAATATTTGTTTAGTGGCATCTTTTTTATGACTGAAGGCGAGTATCACTGATGCCCCAATGAAATAGTTTTATTCCCCTAATATTTAACCATTGATTATAGCCATTCAACATTACAGTACAACTGAGAGCTATCAGTTTTAACATTTTTTAGACTTTTAAAAATAACTTTTAATTGAAGTGAACTTAAAATAATTTTCACATAAACCCCTTATAATAAATGTCATATTTAGTGCCCTTCAGCAAGCAGGAAATATATAGATATTGAATAAAGTTATCAAACACTAAATTCTAAATTAAATATAGATGGATCCTTAAAGCTTATTTTTTTCTTGTGTTCTTTGATTAATATACATCACAGCAGCTGGGTTATTAGGTTACTATGGCTGCTTTAAGCGCTGTCGCTGCTAAACATGATGCAGATCTGACACGCATTGTATTTTCTCACAATTCTTTACCACTTCAGGTCAAAGTCTACTAATGAGCTGACGAGTTGAATCGGGTGTGTTAGATGAGGGAGACAGTGTTGGAGTGCTCCAGGACAGTTTGGAAAACCACTGTGTTTCAGAGACATATTCTTAAATGTGACTCGTAACAAATACTTAGCTACATGCATGCACAGATTTAAGGCAGCTTTAATCGCCTTTTTTGGTAACTTCGTGACTTAACTGACAACATAACTACAACATGGTATGCTCATAGTTTCTTTTGCGCTTTAATGTGAAATTATATAGGCTACAGCTCATCGTGTATAGGCTTAGATCTCAGCCACAATTCTGCGTGCGAAAGATCATATTTTGAGCACACAAAAGTGCATTTTGCACGCGCGCGATCTGAGTTTTGTGGAGAAAACGTTCGTTTCGCAAAGAAAAAAGTATTTCAAGCGCACGAAAATCAATTTTGCATTTAAAGTAAGTTTTTGCATGTGTGCAGACCTTCTCTTTTGCGCGTGCAACGTTTCACTAGCTTGCTCACCTGATGCCCGCCCTCAGTGCTCTCTAAATGACAACAGCTCGCGTGCTCAACACAACCCAGCGTTACAATATGCCATAATTCCAGCCAATCAGATTCTGATTCATTTTCTGAGATAAATTCTGATTGGCTGCCTTGACAACCACTCACGACATTTCTTGCATTACCACGACAGCAGAAGAGGAAAAATACAGTGCATGCATAATTATTATACAAGTTGATATTCTGATCATATTTTTTTCCAAGCACATTTGACCAATTCCAAACGACATCAATCTTAATAACCACTATTAATCTTGTATTTAATCACTTATAATCTATATAGTATTGTTCATGAAGGCTGGAAGTGGAAAACGCCTTATATTCAGGTGTGCATAATTATTAAGCAG